AAGAAACATTAATTGCAGATTTTTTGAGGTTATTTTAATTATAAACATGCATTAACTCTGATTACTCCCACAAATGTCTGAACTCTATTCATAATACAAATTAAAATAAATTATATTTAAAAAACAATGATTACATATTTTTTAAAATCTCAGATTATTTTGTGAACTATTATTAAACAAAAACCACAAAAAAAAAATTATGCAAGTTCTATTAATTATAGTAAGTATCATATTTGAAATCTCAAAGTAATAGTTATTCAATACCAAATTGCTATTGATATTCAATTACTTTTTAGAAGGCAACAAATAAATACTGAATAAACAAACAGCAAAACTGTATTTCTCAAAAGTAACAGATATACAATATCACTACCAAGTCGTAATTAAGTAACAAAGAATAAAGTGTATATGCTTCCTAATATATACTTGTTACTCAGAAGAAATTTGCACATCACTATTTGATACTTTTAAGCAAGTTTTCACATCATAATGATGCCATTTTAAATTGTGGTGAAAATTTTAAATAAACATTTCATAAAAAAATGATTCCAGTTTTTACAATATTGGATTGTTTATAATGGTTATTCTTAAAGCAGTTTGTATACATAAAAGTAAACATTTCTTTTAATAGTATGAATATAAAATTTTGTTAAAACATTCATTAGTAATAGTAAATGTAAATTTAAAAAGATCACAATAATAAAATAAGCATTTTAAGAAAAAAACTAATATCGCTTAGAGAAAATGCAGTAAAAAATTTATAGTTTCAACTTATCTTCAACTAATTTACATAAAATTAATTGGACTTATTGTAACTAAAACAAAAATTAAATTTCAATTTCTATGGCATTGAAATTTTACTATGTTAGAAAATTTAATTCTAGAAAAAGTCAGTCAGTAAAACCAGATTTAGTAGTTTTTTGACCATGTCATCCACATAAAACATTCTAATACTATAATAAAGATTTCCTGACTGGATTATAGCAAATCAATAGAAAAAGATATTGCCAATGTCAGTTTGCAGTACAGTTTATTACTATAAAAAAATATTATCTGGACTGTTTGATGGATGATCAAAGATCTTCCATCCAAAACCATCCAAGAGCTGTCGAGTGTGATTGGCCATGTATGGGCAGGCACTGTCATGATAAAGAAAATCTTGAAACTCAATTTTCCCCCGATGTTTGTTTTGAATCGCTCTTCTTAACTTTTTTTAATGTTTCATAATATCTCTGAGTTTATTGTTGAACCACATTCAAGGAAATCCACCAGAAGCACACCCTTTCTGTCCCCCCAAAAAAAAAAACGATTACCATGATCTTTCTTGCTGACAACATATGCAAACATTCCTTGGTTTTGTGGGAAACTTGTGTGTCCCCACTCTATAAACTGGTTTCTTTGTCTCATAATTTATGTATTTTATCCAAGTCTCAACCCCAATTACAACACGATCGAGAAGTGAGTCACCATCTCTATGGTAGGCTTCCAGAAATGTCAATGATGCTGCTATGCACTGTTTTTTGCGGTCATCTGACAAGATTTTTAGTATCCAACTGGCACAAAACTTATGGTAGTCTAGCTTGTTCATTACAACCTCATGCAACAAACTCTGAAATTTGTGGAAACTCAAATGAGTGCTCCGTAATTATGAAGTGGCAGTTTTCACAAATCTTTCCATTGATTTTCATCACCAATTCATCAGTCAAAATGCTCTGTCGGTCACTTTGCTTTTCATCATGAGCATTAGTGCAGCCATTTTTAAACATAATGCATCACTGCCTCACCTCACTTTCTCTCACTACATCATTTCCATATACCTCACAAAGTTGCTGATGAATTTCAATTGGTTTCTGGTTTTTTATGCCAATAAAAACTTAATCACTAACTTAAAAACTTAATCAAAGCTCATGGGATTTTCAATTGTAGTACACATTTTAAAAATTTACAGTAGACAAAGCAGAAGCAGCACAAACCATATGCTAACACAACTGAATGCGTAATGAGTGAGGGGATGCTCTAACACCAAAATGGTAGCTCTATGCCCCTAGCAACCAAAACATAAGTTACTTTATGAATTGCCCATGTATATTAAGTAATTTTCATATTCTAGAAATATTTTGATATAATTTCTGCTTATAATTGAAAAATTTAATTCCCATTCCAAAGAAAGAACCTTTTTGCTATATATTATTCAAAATTTTGAATATCTACACTTAATGAAACCCTTTCTATGATAAATAAATAAATTTGTCTTATTTTTTAAATTTTGCAAACATTTTAGAATTTCTAAAAAGTATTTATAAGTAGAAATAAAATTTTCATTGATTCTAATAATGCAATTTTTTTAAATAATTAAAATTAGCACTTTTAAATTTTCATTTCTACGTTTTTGGCAGTGGAACAATCAGAATAGCATTGTTCAACAATAACTCATTCTTATTGATTAAACAACAATTAATCAAATAATGACAGTTCACATGTAAAGTCATCAATAACTTTATCTGATAATCTGAATTTTGTTAATTTTACATAGAAAACTTATTTAATCATGCTGAAAAATGTTAATTAGAGGAATATAATATCATTGTCAGATCAAAATGTTTTAAATTCTGTCATGATGTATGTATGTGGGTGTATATAATATATATAAAACAAACTCTGCTTTAATATAAAAATACTAAACTGAACATTGTAAAGAAAAAAGTTGGACCTGATTAAAGTAACCTTGTTTCAATTATATCAGTGCATTGTAAAGATGGTTTGCCAAAAATACAAACAAAAATTTCAAATAGCTGTAACAAAAATATACCTGAATAGAATCTTACTTTGAATAATATTTCTATTGTATTGTAAATAAGGAGAGATTACTTAACTAATGTTTTATTGGTGATCAGAAATATTTTCTTATGGATGATGATTTTATTGAAATAGGTTGATGACACTTAGGTTTGTTTATTTTGTTAAACACAAAATAAAACATATCATTTACAAGTAAGAAAATGACAAAAATATTTTGTACTGTACACTACAAAATATTTTTTATATATTCTTACTTGTAAATGATGTTATGTTTTAATGATGTTATATATGTAAATACATACATTTATTTGTAACTAGTCATTATTATTAATATAAAAATTATAATAAATCTCTTGAATTACATTGAATTAATATGAATCATTTATAACTATTCTTAAAAAGGAAAGTGAAGTTGAATTATTACAAATAAGGTTTCATTATTTATAATAATTCAACTTTCAAATAATATTTCAAAACAGCTGGCAATGTTTTGCTGGATTTTTCCAGCATTCTTTATTTTTTTCATTCCTAATAATTACTATCATTATTATTAAATCTTCAGGTTGGTTGGGAAGATGAAGTGGGACCATATCTCCCAAATCAATGGTCCAATTTTCCTGAAAATTTCTAGAAACTTTTTCCTCTAAAGCACAAACCTGCCTGCAAAACTTCAAAAATTTTCAACAAAAAGGCACAAGAGTTATTAAGCTTCAAAGTGGCTGAAAAAATCATTTCTCCCATATACAAACTCACACTAACATCCATCCATATATACAGAAAATATCTATTTTCTGTATGTATGGTATTTTCTATTTCTTGACATTTCAAGGCCCTTAGTTCAAAAATGAAAAAAAAATTGGGGGGTCGATTTTTGACTGTTCACCATATATATACAGCCAGAAAAGAAAAAGGAATGCAAAATTAAATTATTATTATTATAAATAAGGAAAATTTACTTGTATTAAACTTATACCACTCAAAATATCGTAAGATTTGGTTAATAAAAATCTTTCCTAATTAAGAAAAATACAAAATTGACATACGCACAACAAAATTCTGACAATATCTAGATTATCAAATTTAACTGCCTTAACCTAATAAAATAAGTACAAATAAAAACTTCTGTATTCCCGGAGATTCAAACAGGTCAAATCAATGAACTTTTTCAGAATATGTATAACTTTTCAAATTTTGTTTTATCATCAATGATTGCCAATTTTCTTAATGCTCAGTCATATTGATGAAAGATGCATGATACTGAAACAAATGACTAATTTATTGAGAAATTTTTATTTCAGGAATTTATTTTATGGTTTCTTGGTGTATTTTGTTTTGTAAAATGTATTCTTTTGGTATTCTAAAATTGAAATTTCAAAATAGTAAAAGTTCACAAAATAAACAATACTAAATTTTCTAATTAAAAAAAAAAATCATCATCAGTCATTTATAATCTGTTTAGACTGGAATTATTGTGTTGATAGACTAGAAGAAACTTTAAAAGTACATATTAAATTAGTTTGCGAAATAATTCGTCTCCCATAGCTTCTTTATAAAGCATACGACGTCAACTGAGAAGCAAATAAGAATAAAACGAAGTAAACAGTAAAATAATTCTTAGCCATTTATCTATAAAAATATTAAATATTAAGAATTATTTTATTAAAGGAAAGAATTATGCAAAAAAATCTGAAACACTTATTGTTTCTAGATTTTTTTAAAATTGAATAGGAATTTATTTCTCTCAGCTTTTTCTATATGTAATTGTATCATCTCAAAGAATACATATTTATCATGTCTGACTTGGGCATAGAATTTAGAGAATAACATAAAATGATAAACTTAATGATCCTTAACAAATGTAATTGCAGAATTAAATCAAATTATCAATGGAAAAAAAAAATGCTACATCGGATAGAGGATAAGTTTGAAAGATTTATTCTATCAACTTCAATTAACATATAATATTTGAGAAAAATTCATGGCTTATAGCTTATATATTATTAAATGAATTTCTAATAGACGGAGAGATTAGATGGTTTATAAACAGAGTTGTGCCGAAAAGACATTCACCCGATATCTACACAATAATCAAATGGGGGAGACGTTATACGAATTACCTATCTTACATTATCGACATAATAGATTTTTTTTTTTAAATAAAACTTTAAAACATTTTTTTTAAATAAGTAAAACGCAGTTACCATAAGGCTTAGAGTAGGTTCTGCCTCCGATACGATCTCGAGCTTCGATCAAGGCAACATCTTTAAAACCGTATTCTTTTAAACGGCAAACGGCTGCCAAACCTCCCATTCCTGCCCCAACGACAACTATTTTCCGATCAATTGGTCCTCTTCCGATCGCTCTCGCCATTTCGTCCTCTTCGACTGTCGTTAATATTTTGACGGCTTTGCTGTCACTGAGTCACAGAAGATGTCGCTCTTTACCCTTACTCAGATTTCTCGCATAATGGAATTACAGTAGTAATCTTTCTATTTATAATAAATTCTTAAACCAAATTTCATCGTGATTAGTAAATAATAAGGTATTTTGAAATGTTAAATAATAACATATTTAATATTTCAAAATACTTTTGTGTGTTGTTCATATATATATATAAAATATTTTATTAAAGAAATAGATACAAGGCTTATATGACGATAAAAATGAAATGTCATAATATACTATATGTACAGTATACTGTACGTAATACAAAATTATACGAGCTCAGAGAGCTAGCGAGTCCATTTGATTTCGGGCTCCGTATTTTAAAAATATATCAAAATGCTTTTATTAGTTTTATTCGTATATTTTTTGTGGTTTTCGGAAAAGGGCGAAACTTCGTCTTATCCGAGGTGTGGCTCGTAACAATGTCTATCCAAATTCGTAAGTTGTAGATTAAGGTTAGTGTACAATGATGCCCCCCAAAAAAATAGAACTAATACAAATGAAGAGCTCGAATTGGACAAAATCCGGATTATATTATTATTACCAGAGGATGGACCGCAAATAAACACATAACATTTGTACCATCCCATTCCCCTAAAAATATTGGACTTGCAATTTTATCAACGAGTTTTTTTTTCAACTCTTTCCGCCCTGTGGGCACTAAGAGGGCCTCTTTTTTCAAACCCATTATGGGTACGACCAGACCCACAATGGGGCTGCCGGGTGGTGGGGGATGGGGCCCGACATATCCGAACGGACCACCTCCCGAAAAATTCCTTAACGGGGATTTTTCGACCCGTTCGGATTCGAACCCGAGACCCCCAGAGCGGTAGGCTGCCATCTGGCCGCACAGTTAAGGACTAGGGAGACTTGGGTAGGAGTAACATAAGTAACCTAAATTAAGAAAGAATAACTACAGATGACTTAGCTCTATTGGATATTGGAGAAGTGTACGAATACGAATCCTACAAGCAAAAAAAATAATCGACAGGTTGCGCACGATATTTCCGGACAAAATTAATAGTTCACCTGGACCATTGAGTCGATTCCCGGACTGTCCGGGTGAAAACCGGACGGGTCCGGAAATCGACTCACTGTATACATACACTACATGTATGTATACAGTGGAACCTGTACACTGTATCTGTATGTGTGTTTCTTTTTGTTTTTTATTCCAACATGTACGCAATATCTCAGGATAATTGTAAAATTAGTCTTTTTTACAAAACGTCGCCTTTTTTTATCGAAAAAACGTTGTTATTAGAATTAGGCTGACGAATCATAGCCATTTTGCAATACGGCTAGAAGCTTGCAGCCATTTTGTAATAGTTACAATTGATTACGAAATGGCTTACTAATTCCAGCTGTTTTGTAAAAAGACTGACTCGTCCAGCCATATTGTAAAATATTCCCAGCTGCCAAGAGGCGTCTTTTAGACAAGATGATTTTTCTGCTTTTTCAAACATAAGAATGTTTAAAACAGCAGAATAACCATCTTCCGAATTAACTACGTTTCCTGAGAAGATCGCCATCTTGTCTAAAAGACGCCTCTTGGCGGCCGGGAATGTTTTACGATATGGCTGGACGAGTCAGTCTTTTTACAAAATATCTAGAATTAGTAAACCATTTTGTAATCAATTGTAACTATTACATAAGAGCTGCAAGCTTCTAGCCGTATTACAAATAGTGCTTTAGGAAATAACGAAACAAATTGAAAAAAGAGTTTTATATGAAAATAAATTAATTCTATGAGGGTAGAGAGCAGTCATTAAAGAAACCTGCCTCCAATCAGTCCCTGAAGGTCATTGCCAAAAAGCCCATCCATCTGCAGCTTCAGCAGACTGCTAAGCAATATTTTATCTCCAGAGGGTTCGAAGTCGATATTGGAGCCTTCTTCTTCCCTTCGGCAACGTACGAGGTTAACAGAAAAGTAGATGAACTTCCACATCTAACCCATAGGAGGGGCTATATGCAAGACAGGGTTATTTACTAGACGTGGAAGTTTTTACCGATGGATTAAGAATACGTAATGGCACTGGGTGTGCTTTTTCTGTGTTTTCGGGAGGAAAACATATTTTTTTGACACGTGTTCTTCATCCGGAGTGCTCCGTCTTCCAGGCTGAGGTCCTTGCCTTTCTTTTGGCAGTCCGTTGGTGCGAGGAGAATCTTGTTGGAAGGGCGATTAACATCATATCAACTAGTTTCAACAGTTTTTCTATTGGGTGGGCCAGAGGGCACTGTGATACTCCAAGGAATGAGAGAAGTGACCAGATAGCGCGGGCTGCCGCCGACTGTCGTGACATCTCTGACAACTGTATTCTTCCAGCCTCGCGATTTAATCTTCTCCTTCGTAAGGAAATGATTGAGATTTGTCGGCACGAGTGGGAATCTATTCCCAGGATCACATCTCCAGGAGCTTCTTTCCAAGCATCGAACGGCATCTCACAGTTGGTAATTTAGTCCAAACTTTCATGTGACTCAGTTTCTCAGGAGACACGAGAAGTTCAACACGTATCTCTGTCGATTCCATAAGACAAGTTCAAAGCTGTGCCGTTATTGTAGAGAAGAGGACGGGGTTTGGCACTACATCTATGCATGCCCGATGCTTCATGACATAAGGCAACTTGTGAAACTTAAGTTGCATGCTAGAATGTGAATTGGCCCTGCGATCTGAGTCTCTTGAGAACAAAGATAACTACTTCCTGCTAAAAAACCTTATCAAGCGGTATTTTGACAGGACTTGCATCCGGTAACTAGAACTAGCTTTATGTGCCACATAAAGCTAGTTCTAGTTACCGGCTAGCTAGTTGTCATATGCGATGACCCTACATGGTTCCTGACCCAAGTTCTGAAAGTCGTTTGTTTGCCACAAGAACGTGGCATTACACCTGATCGTTTCTATTTTAATTTCGGAATCTTGCCATTTATAAGCCAAAAAGAAACCACTTTGTACTTTACCCGACTGTGCCTGGCGGTGTCGGGAAAAAAATAAAGATTATTTGTGTGTGTATAGTACTAACATTATGATGTTATGGATATTGGACGAAAATAAAACTTGATAATTAAGCATAAAGATCAAACTGAGTCAATCATGATTATTCTACCTTTTGATGAATATTATGAAAAGTTGTTAGAAATTCAGAGGACTTGTGGTCATGGAGGCCGGGATAAAATGATTATGCTTTAAAAATAAGTATTCAATTTCAAAGCCGGTGAATTTGAAAGCCGGTGAAAATGAATTTGTTTCTCTAATGAAGTGTCTTCCTGAATATCACAATTTCGTAAAGGTTTTGTTAGTCTACTGATTGTCTCAAAAGATTTTAATGTAAGAGGCCAAGTTGATTTAATTGATCTGAAGTCATTCGCTGATGGACAGTTCAAATGGCTTTTGAATTATCAAGATAATGCTACTAAGTTTGTTCATTTAAGGCCATTAAACTCTGAAAGAGTAGCAGGAGTACCCTTAAAACTCTTTAAAATATTTATTGAATTTGGAGCTCCACACATCCTTCAAAGTAACGGTGGTCGAGAATTTCTGTGAAATATCATTCAGAAATTGATATCACTCTGGCCAGAATACGTTATCGTGCTTGGCCTCCACGTCATCCACAGACTCAAGGGAGTATAGAAAGAAGCAACCAAGAAATTGAAAACATGGTTTGTAGTTGGATGCAGGAAAACATTTCAACAAAGTGGTGCATTGGCTGCTACTTCGTACAATGGAAGAATTGCTCTCTACGTCGGATTATCGGGAAATCGCCGTACCGAGCTCGTTTTGGTTGCAATCCGAAAATTGGACTCAATAACACAGGAAATACTCAAAATGATACTATTAAAACAGGACATGGGTTTGGGATTACAAGCACATCAGAAACGTTTCACTACCTGACATAAGCGGACCATCAGAGAATAGTGCTGGTGAAATGTTCTTCCAACCAGCAGACAATGAAAATGGACTCAGATAAAATAATTCTAATTATTTTGACGTCGTCACTATGCCGGTCTGCAATTTTTAATCATATTTTTAATTTATTTTATTTAAAACTAGCTTACCCGTCGCGCATTGCTGCGATCTCAGAAGAAACGAAATGCAAGCAAACTCGTAATGATAAAATTAAATTTTCATTTTATCATTTTTATTGAAACTTATTATTATTATTATTCATTTTCATCGGGAAAATATTTCAAAGTGTTGTTTCAATTCTATTTATTTATTGGAGTGCTCGTGGATACACGATATTTTTTGTTTTTCCGTCTGGTGCGTACACGAATAAATCGGAAGGTTTTCCGACGCGTGAGCTGGCCACATACAGTTGTCCATGCGAGAAGCACGGATTCTCCAAATTTAGCCCACACACTTGCAGCGATTGTCAAAAGCGCGATATTCCCCATTTATATATATATTTTTTAATCCTTTATAATTTTAATTATTTAATTGCTCCTTCCTCTCTTCCTTGGCATGTTGTGAAATTTCTGATAGTTGGATAATAAACCGTTTTATTGTAATTTGTCTTTTTAAATTATTTTGAGTCGATATTAAAATTTGGAAAAGGGGGGATACCTAGATTGGTAAAATACGCGAATTTCTTCCTACAACTTCGGTTGTTGTTCGGGGTACAGTTAAGGTTTTAGAAGTTCGAGCGAATACATAATTAGCAAAAAAAAAAGTTGAAATAAAGTGATTAAACAAAAATTATTACAAATATCGTAAATAACAAATGCATATATAGAGATATTTTTTGAAAGGGGGAAATGGTCTTCACAATTTGAAATCGATCTAACACACTGTGCGCGAATGCTCGTGTAAACGCGCGCCATCTATCGTAGGATAAATGTACTTCGCGGGAGTGTATTAAAAAATTAAAAAAAACTTTCCAAAGTTTTATGGCAATCGTACTATGCCACAAACCTTCGCCAGAGTATATTAAACAACTTCCCAAAGTTTCACGGCAATCGGATAAACGGTGTGGTAATGCATGAAGGACATAGGACACACACACAGACA